ACCAGGACATCAGCACAAGCAGGGTGGAATCACCTGCTGCTGGTTTGATTCACTCCTCCTTGCCTTCATTTCACTTGCCCCCCCGGGGCAATTATCTTACCGTGAACTCTTTTTACCTTTCCCCTCAGCTTCGACTTCTTCTGCCTTTTTACAAAAGGCCATAAATAATCTCTTTCCACTGCCTGTCTTTACCCTGTAAATTGCAAACCCAGATTAGAACTGAAACTAACCAAAACCCGTTATTCCTCCCAGCGTTTCTCCCTCCCCCTGGCCGTCCGTCCCTTGATCGCCTGCTCTCTCACGTCGCACCACGATGAATCCCACCTCCCACAGCCCCGGGGAGCACCTGGATCCGGAATTCTCTCCTTCTCCAAGCCCCTCAGCAGGGATCCTGCCAGCAGAGCCAGGCCTGGGGGTTCATAGAATCATAGAATCTTGGGGGCTGGAAGGGACCTCGAAAGATCTAGTCCAACCCCCCTGCCAGACTCAGACCAGGACATCAGCACAAGCAGGGTGGAATCACCTGCTGCTGGTTTGATTCACTCCTCCTTGCCTTCATTTCACTTGCCCCCCCGGGGCAATTATCTTACCGTGAACTCTTTTTACCTTTCCCCTCAGCTTCGACTTCTTCTGCCTTTTTACAAAAGGCCATAAATAATCTCTTTCCACTGCCTGTCTTTACCCTGTAAATTGCAAACCCAGATTAGAACTGAAACTAACCAAAACCCGTTATTCCTCCCAGCGTTTCTCCCTCCCCCTGGCCGTCCGTCCCTTGATCGCCTGCTCTCTCACGTCGCCAGGGGTCTGTCTGACAGGAACAGGGGTCTGTCTGACAGGAGCAGGGGTCTGTCTGACAGGAACAGGGGTCTGTCTGACAGGAGCAGGGGTCTGTCTGACAGGAACAGGGGTCTGTCTGACAGGAGCAGGGGGTCTGTGCCAGGAACAGGGGTCTGTCTGACAGGAGCAGGGGGTCTGTGCCAGGAGCAGGGGTCTGTCTGACAGGAGCAGGGGGTCTGTCTGACAGGAGCAGGGGTCTGTCTGACGGGAGCAGGGGTCTGTCTGACGGGAACAGGGGTCTGTCTGACGGGAACAGGGGTCTGTCTGGCAGGAGCAGGGGTCTGTCTGACGGGAACAGGGGTCTGTCTGACAGAGTGGGGGTCTGACAGGAACAGGGGTCTGTCTGGCAGGAGCAGGGGGTCTGTGCCAGGAGCAGGGGTCTGTCTGACAGGAGCAGGGGTCTGTCTGACAGGAACAGGGGTCTGTCTGACAGGAGCAGGGGTCTGTCTGACAGGAACAGGGGTCTGTCTGACAGGAGCAGGGGTCTGTCTGACAGGAACAGGGGTCTGTCTGACAGGAGCAGGGGGTCTGTGCCAGGAACAGGGGTCTGTCTGACAGGAGCAGGGGGTCTGTGCCAGGAGCAGGGGTCTGTCTGACAGGAGCAGGGGGTCTGTCTGACAGGAGCAGGGGTCTGTCTGACGGGAGCAGGGGTCTGTCTGACGGGAACAGGGGTCTGTCTGACGGGAACAGGGGTCTGTCTGGCAGGAGCAGGGGTCTGTCTGACGGGAACAGGGGTCTGTCTGACAGAGTGGGGGTCTGACAGGAACAGGGGTCTGTCTGGCAGGAGCAGGGGTCTGTCTGACGGGAACAGGGGTCTGTCTGACAGAGTGGGGGTCTGACAGGAACAGGGGTCTGTCTGGCAGGAGCAGGGGTCTGTCTGACGGGAACAGGGGTCTGTCTGACAGAGTGGGGGTCTGACAGGAACAGGGGTCTGTCTGGCAGGAGCAGGGGTCTGTCTGACGGGAACAGGGGTCTGTCTGACAGAGTGGGGGTCTGACAGGAACAGGGGTCTGTCTGGCAGGAGCAGGGGGTCTGTGCCAGGAGCAGGGGTCTGTCTGACAGGAGCAGGGGTCTGTCTGACAGGAACAGGGGTCTGTCTGACAGGAGCAGGGGTCTGTCTGACAGGAACAGGGGTCTGTCTGACAGGAGCAGGGGTCTGTCTGACAGGAACAGGGGTCTGTCTGACAGGAGCAGGGGGTCTGTGCCAGGAACAGGGGTCTGTCTGACAGGAGCAGGGGGTCTGTGCCAGGAGCAGCCCCCACCATGGAGCTGGGCAGGCTGCAGTACCTGCAGGCCCTGGTCACCGAGTTCCAGGTGACAGACAGCTCAGGTAAGCCCGGGCACTGCTGCTCGCTCAGCTCTTCACCTTGAGTGTGTTTTCCTCACCTTCCTGACCCTTTGCAGAGGCCAAGGAGCAGGTCCTGGCGAACCTGGCCAATTTTGCCTACGATCCCAGAAACTACGAGTACCTCCGGCAGCTCCAGGTCCTGGATCTGTTCCTCGATACCCTCACTGAAGACAACGAGGCCCTTGTGGAGTTTGCCATGGGTAAGGGCTGCCCTGAACGCTCTGGTGAGGGGCTGGCAGGGCAGGGGATGCCAGAATTTGGGGGGTCAGCTCCTCCCTGAGAGGCAGAGAGCAGAAGACACATGGGGTGCTGACAGGGCTTCATTTAGTGGAGAAAGAGAGGAATGGGATGAGGAGGAGGAGGCAGGTATCTCTGCTACATCCCTCAGGTAGATGCTGCACTTAAAAGGATCTCTTCTGGAATGGATTTATTTTTTTTAATACTAAGTAAACCGTAGATTAATTACTCTAACAAAATCTCTCCTATAGAGAAGCAGTCACTAATACATAAGTTGTTGCCATGTGTGAGATCCCACGTTGCCATTCTACTATTGACAACCAGTCCTCTAAAATACCTGGTTGAAATGTTTAATAAGGCCTCTGAGGAACTGCTTCATAGTTATTTGTTCAAGGTCTGAACAGAAGCTGAGGGGCCAGATCCTAATTGTGAGTGATTCCATGAGATGATAATAAATATATTTGATTGTTGAGGTTTGTGGCTGAGCTGCAGCAGGATATGGCTACGTCTTCCAAGTTTAGAGTACAAACATTCTGTGCCTCTTGGCTAGTACTGTTATCTCTGTTTTTCTACAACACCTGCAATAAACTGTTGGCTTGTACCTCCCTCAGGGTTAAGTGATAATGGGAATTCTTCATTCCATGCAAGACCTTAAGCCCAGCAGTACAGTGCCCTCTAATGACATACAGGAGGAGGACTGCTCTGAGGGAAAAATCTATGGAAAGAATAAAAAAAAAACATTGCTCAGGAAGCTGTTCAGATTATTTTCCATCCAAATCGTACAGAAAAAACGGATGCTTCTTTCTGTATTAGAAAAAAAAATAAGGGGATCAGCAGTGAATTTGAATCTTAGCATGAAAAGGATGAGGGTGCAAAGAGTTTGTGTTGCATTTTCTTTGCTGTTTCAGGCGGCCTTTGTAACCTGTGCCTGGATAAAACTAACAAGGACTACATCTTGGAGGCGAACGGGATAGAGCCCATCATCAGCTGCCTGTCCAGCTCCAACGAGGAGACCGTGATGTCGGCAGTCACCACGCTCATGTCCCTCACCACGCCGCAGTCCCGCCCGCAGACCACAGCGCTGCCCGTGGTGGAGTGCATGCTCCGCTTCTCCCTCTCGGCCAGCAGAAGGCTCAGCAACCTGGCCACTGTCTTCCTGGAGGATTACTGCACGCCGCTGCAAGTGGAGGAGGCCAGGAATCTCAGCAAACACACAGCAGTGGGGATTCCTCTCCCCAAGGACTGAAGCTGTCAGAGCTGTTGAGAAGGACCTTCCCTCTGTTTTCCTCCACTTCCTGCTCAGCAGGTCAAGAGCGTGTCAAGAGCAACATGAAAGAGGGAAACTGGTCATACCAGCACTGGATTTTAGTTAATAAAGAGGTACAGCACTGCCATGTCAGTCAGACCAAGCACACAGCTAGAACTGCAAGCAAGTATTTCAAATAAAACAGATCTGTTGGAGAGCAGGTTGCCACGTGCAGCCCAGCACCCAGCTTGCACAAATAACCCCTCCCAGCTGTTGGATGTTTTTTCTGCTTGGGTTATTGGGCAGCTTATATCCCCTCCAGTTCCTGGCTGGTTTTGCTGCAGCTTTCCTCTTCAGTGTCACCTCAAATGACTTTGAAATGTCACAGAAACTTTATTCTTCCTGCAGAAGCAAGAAGGTGTTGCCCTGCCCTGGCAGTTTGCAGTCTTGCTGTGTCCCCACCATCATATCATCCTATCATCACAGGCCTCTCATACATAATATATCTATAATAAATAGGTTAATAAATCACCATACAGGGCAGGTTGTAGCCATCCTATGAATCAGGTAGTGCAAAGTTGTTTTTCTTTCATTACCACTGGTAAGAAAGGTGAAGATTAAAAAAAGAGCTCATGGAACTCTGGCTCATAAGAACAGCTGTCTTGTAAAACCTTCTCTTAATAAAACATTAACTTAAGTGCTGTGTAAACAGGTTTGTATAAGCTCATAAATATTTCTCCATCTCACTTGCAGCCAATCTTTGCCCACTCTTACTCATGCACAGGGGCCAGAAATGGAAGCCAGCTTGGTCTCCTTTCATTATCAGCCAACGATGCAAAAGGCAACCCAAAAGCCAGGGAAGCTAAATACACAAAATCTAAAAGGGTTTGGCTGCTGAGCACAGTGCTCCCTGACAGACACCCATGCTGTGTCAGAGCTTGCTTCTTCCTCTCTCTCTTCTCCCCTCCACCCCTAGTCAGCCCAAAACAAGCAGGAGTGAGGTTAAAAGCACATGCACACAAGAGAAACTTAACGCCAAACAAACAACCCACAACTGCTTGTATTTTATCGTTTCTCCTCCTCACCAACAGCAAAAACATCCAAAACAACTGTACAGAGATAAACTAACTGAATGCAGAGCAGCCTTCCAGCAACCTGGAGTCAGCTCTGCAGCACGTGGAATGAGGGCAGCTCATTTCCTAAGGGACACCCCCCTGCAGTGCCCCTGCCTGGGTGACAGTGCTTGCTGCCTCCTGGGAATGGATCTCCCTGCCAGTGGTAGGTGGGTTGTTGCCTGGGCAGTGGGAAGAGCACAGCATTCCCATCTCTGTGTCACTGCCTGCGTTTGCTCTCCAGGATGGCTTTCCAGTCGTCCTCCCAGGACAGGAGCCGCCGGCGCGGGGCCGGCAGCTGGAGCTGCCTGTTGTGGCAGCAGGTGAACAGGATGTGCTCCCAGCTGGGGTTCAGCTCAGCACCTGAGGAGGGCAAGGGAGGAGAGCTGCAGTCAACTGGGGCTGTTCCTCCCTGGCTAACCGAGTGGTGCAACTGCTTTTCAAACCTTTAATGGTGTCCTTGTCATCAAACAGCAGGTCAGCAGACACCACCGTCTTATCCCGGGTCAGAATAATCCGCTCCACAAACTCGGGGCCCAGGTGTTTTTCTACCCATTTATACTGCAGAGGCAAGATGTAAGAGAAGGTTCTGCCATGCTCTCAGGTTGCACTTTGCCCAGCTCAGATCAGCCCTTGTGTAGCAAATCTCCCCCAAAACCCCAGACCTGTGACTCCTGGCCAGGGAGGCTGGTTGTGCCCAGGGCACTGACCTCACCTGTGTGGGCTGTGAGCAGCACTGGCTGCTGGCCCAGAGCAGGTCGATTGTGCCCATCAAAATCATTCCAGCGATGAAAGTCCCCCCCTCTGCTCTTGTGCCAGTGTCAAACAGGGCTAATTCCAACACCACGGCCTCCTCTGAACTCAGCACTGGCCTCTTGCAGCACAGCTCGGTTTCTTGGGCTCCAGATTTAGACAGAAGGTTTTATGGGTTGAGGAGGCTCCACTGTGAAATCCCAAGGGAATCTCCCATCCTTGTGGGCCATGCTGACAGCCAAGCTTGCCTTACCCAGCTCTGCTGCATCAAGTTCCTTTGCTATCAGCTGCTGACAGAGCTGGAGCAGCAGTGTCCCAGCAGGACTGGGCTCATGTGCCCCACAATAAGGCTGGCACCCTGTGGCATTCCAAGATTCCCCATCCTACATTATCCCTCTGTGTCTGGGCAGCTGCCCCTCAGAGGGATCACAGGGAAGCCTGGCAGCTGCTGTCTTTATAAGTGAATGACTCTGACTTGGGTGGCATGAAATCCCAAGGCTTTGCAAAAGCAGCATTAAAACCAGTAAAATAAATTCTCTCCCACCTTCTCCACGATGCAGTGCTCGTATTTCCGGAGAGGACTTGTGCAAATAAAGACTTCAGTGCTGAAAAGAAAGAGCCTTCATTAACCATCAGGGGAAAGCATGTAGGATAATGGGAAGGGCTGCAGTCTGTCCTTACTCCTGCATGTGGATCATCTCCCGCATAGCTTCAAGGGCTCCTGGAATTGGATCCAGCTCTAGAAAGAAGCCAGGTGATTCATAGACACTGGCCACCTTAGCCTGCAAGAGACAGGAGAACCATTAGCAACACTCATGCTTTTATCCCAATTCTGTACACAAGTTGTCCTGTTACCCCCTGTGTAACAGCCATCAAAGGGGCTCCAGAGAGTGAGGTGATGCTTCACATCAAGAGTGAATGATAAAGTTTCTCACCTTTAGGGTTCCAGGAAAAATCCAGCTAAGTCACAGAAGAATGAGAAGTTACTCTCTGGTGGCTTGTTTGGAGTGAGGAGGCAGAGCTGATCCTGACCTAGCTTTGTTTCTACAAGCTGCTCCACCTTTTCCTCATGGAAAGGGTGATCAGACATGGGAATGGGCTGCCCAGGGAAGTGGTGGAGGCACCATCCCTGGAGATGCTCAAGGAAAGCCTGGATGTGGCACTTAGTGCCATGATCTGGCTGATGTGGTGATGTCAGGTCATAGGCTGGACTTGATGATCTCAGAGGTCTTTTCCAGCCTGTGATTCCCTGGGGTCATACAGTGAAATTCAGAAGTGCTGAGCCAGCATTCTTCCACAAGCATTAAAGACTCACGTTTCTACGCCACCAAACAATTTAGAAAACTGAGTTCTGGGTAAGTATTCTTCAAAGACAGGCTGGCAGCCTCTGCTTAGAAATTGTACAAGATTGCTTTACAGTCCAGCTGAGGGGGTCCTTGCTCTATATCAGTGGAACCTCAACTTAAGAACCATTTCAATGAAGCAGCAATGAGAAGGAGGCAGCATTAAACAAGCCTCCCAGCTCAGAGTGCTCACTCAGCTATCATCATTTGCACATAAATCGACAGCCAGAAGTTTGGAAGGGCTGCCTGATTTCACATGCAAATCAGAAGAGGTTGAGGAGTCTGGGTGAGGATGTGGCAATCAGATCTACCCAGATCTCTGTTTCCATGCAAAGCCTCACTGATCCCTGCAACAACTCCCTGGAGCTCTTCCCAAGGAGATTGAGTAACAGAATCAGGGTTTGTGTCTGAAAGCTCTTTTATCCTACAGCAAGACACCAGAAACTGGGAAGTTTCCACCACATCACAAAAGTCTGGCTTTGTTGGGAAGAGAAATTTTATTTCAGGACTCAGAACTAAGAGCCAGTTGTCAAAACCAAAAAAGTTTTCCTAGAAAAATGAAATAAAACCATTTTTTTCTCCCCTCATTCTCATCCCATCACAGCCAAACATTTGCTTTTAACTTCCATTAGCAAGATAATAACTTAGATTCAAAACTGGAGGAATTACATCTCTCCCTAAGCTTTCCCATTTGCAATACTGAAAATAATTCTAGAAATTCTTGCCACCACTGGAGATGTTGAATCCTTTTCTTTTCTTCTGTCTGGGGCCAGGTAACACATCCTAAACCCTGGGGAAAGAAATCCCCCTCGAGAAAACTGCTGCACACACAGGAGACAAAAGTACAGTGAAGAAAGTCTTGAGCACGGTTCTTTGTCACTGAAATGGATTTACAATGTGAAACTGATGGTCAGGTTAGCAGCAAAAAATACAGTAAAAACCAAAGTAATGGTTCAAATTTCAAGAGGCAGCTCCTGAGAAGTAACAAAGCATCAGTGCTTGGTGAGAGGGCAGTGGGTAAATCGTTATCACAGCACTTCCCACACCCCTGTCAGGACAGTATCAGCTCCTGAGCAGACAGAGCAGGTGTCAGGCTGATCCTCCTCCTTTCAGGGGCTGACAAAATGCAGGTTCAGTGACTCTGCACAGCACGGGATGGACAAGCCCCTTGCTTGTGGGTTCCTACCAAAGCTTTTCCTGCAGCTGGGGCAAGGAAAGACCCTCTTGTGTGGGGACACTGCTGCAGCACAGCCACCCTGCACTACTGTGGCACAGCCAACAAAGTCTCTCTTTTTAACTACAGCTAACAAGGTCTCTCTTTTTAACCAGCTGTGGCATTTACATAAAACCTAAAGGAGCTTCACATCTTTCATCGTTCTGCCAAATGTGCCTAAACCACCCAGAGATCCAGAGGGTACTGAGGGAGACAGACACACACACAACTACATAAACCTAATTTCCTTGGGAAGCCAGGCTAATAAGGAACAGCAAGAAAAGAGCTTTCTGCCACTGCTGATCTGTGTGGGATTCAAAGCAGTTATCTGGTTATTCCATTGACACACCTATGGTCTGGGAAGGAAGAGGATGAGCAGGAACCAAATTAGGGAATGGGAATGCCAAAAATAGAACACAACTTTCACCACAGAATAGATTGTAGACATTCCAAATAAGCACAAATTAAAAACCATGACCCCTCAAATACTTGCAATTCTTTTATCCCAGTGTATCTAGGTGGGATTTACTTAAGGAATGCCCACTTTTAGCAATAAATGGTGTTTGTTGATATTAAACGCTAAACAAATCACACCTACTCCCCATATTTACAAGTTACTACCTCTGGGAAGTTTCAAGCATCAATAACTATCAATTAGAGCTTGGAGCCTGAGCAAATGCTGCCCAGACCCTGCAATGTCACACTGGTGCAAGATCCTATGAACAGGAGGGAAACTAATTTGTCATTTCTTAACAGTAAAAAACCTACAAGCTCAGTACAGGATGTTAAAGTTAGCAATGAACTTCTCAGATGAAGAGTACAGCACAGCCTGGATCAGCATCCATTGGCTTTTTAAGAGTCCCTGGCTGCCCTGTGGTAACCAGAAGGAAATGCCAAGTCTAGATTTATAGTATTTTTTTAATTTTACCTTGCAAATGTCTCTGATGTTCATTCAGTCCCTGGCAACCATTAAAAGCAGCAACAACCTGCACAGATGTAAGATGCACCACAAGCTTTTTACACACGGTTTCAGGTCACTTACCTGCTGTGCACTTTGCTCGCCAGAGGGGATGACAAAAAACCACGGGGCTTTATTAGTTGTGCAAACCCCACGTGGAATATTTGCACTTCTTGCCCTGCCACGGAGCTACAGCAGCACTTGCCGAGCGTTCCCAGCAGCGCTGCACAGCAGGAGCTCACCCGTGGGCAAAGAACCAGCTGAAGATGGTTGAGCAAACAGTTCCACGCAGTTCTTTTGATGGCAGACCCGCCGGTTCCCGCACACCCCCCCCCCTCTTTGGGAAGGGCTGGCAGGTCACTCCTCATTGCTACACAATTTGCCAGCGTGAAACAAACCCTTTAAACATTATTTTAAACCCCCTCCCGCCCCGCTTTGCACACCCAGGGTGGGTCGGAAGGAAGGGGAGAGGTTCCCTTCGCTCCCAGCAAGGC